TAGAATAGGGTTTTGGGTATCCTATACTATAAGTATAAAAAGAGACCCCCAAAACCGATTCTAATTAGTAAGGCCCCTGCATTAGGATGTTTACGCCGGCGCCCTTTGGAGCCATCGACTGCCAGGACCCGGAGTTGAGGATTTAAATTTAGGCGGTCAGGGGTCGTGGGTTCAGGGTTGTGGGGCTTTGGAGTTTTAGGGTTTTTAGGGTTTAGGGTTTTAGGGTTTTAGGGTTTAAGGGTTTAGGGTTTAAGGGTTTAGGGTTTAGGAGTTGGGGTTTAGGCTTATTTAGGGCTTTGGGTTTTGGGCTTAGGGGTTTTAGGGTTTAGTGCAACTTTCAGTGCCTGCTTCCTGGGGTTAAGTTATGGCTCCCTTGTTCTGGGGTTCTCCAAAAACTCAGTTTCGGGTTTGGGGCTTCTACCGGAAATCCTGTCTTGGGGTCCTTAGATTGAGCAGGATCTGTAGTATTTATACAGACTTAGTAAGTAAGTAAGTACAAGTATAAGTATATTTAATTTGTACCCCTAGTTACTAAGTCCCATGATCCTCTAAGTAAGGCGATTATTGCGAGGGGGGGGGGGGTTTCGCGCAGTGTTCAGGGCCCGTCTTTCCGTGGCCAGTCTGGTAATGCAGGGTTTCAGAGTTTAGGGTTCAGGGTTGCATTATGGGGCCGGAATATCTATTGGTACTGTTCCTCCGGGTTCCTTGTTAGACCATACCATCACCTACAGCCAAGAGCTTTGTTTCAAGTTGACACAGCTGCCACCTTACGGTGCCAGGTTCAGGATTACTGGGTTCCCTATACTCCGCCCCTCTTATAGTCCCTCCTCTAAAGGAACCCTATGCTACTTTGTTGGGCCACCAGTATCTCAAGGAACCCTTAGAGGAACCCAAAACCCCTAAAGCCTAAACCCTAATCCCTAAACCCAAAACCCCTAAACCCCCAAACCCAAACCCTAAACCCCTAAACCCACAAACCCTAAACCCTAAACCCCCGCTGAACCCCTAAACCCCAAACCCAAAATGGCATAAACCCCTAACCCCTAAGCCCTAAACCCCTAGACCCGCAAACCCTAAACCCCAAACCCTAAACCCTAAACCCTAAACCCTAAACCCTAAACCCTAAACCCTAAACCCTAAACCCTAAACCCTAAACCCTAGTAGGGCCCCTACATTGAGTTCGCTTGCAGGAGTTGGACACGAGCGTGAGCTTCGGGGGACTGGTGGCAACTGGCTTCGCTCCTTGCCATGTGGGTAGTTCTTTAAAGGGCTTAGGGATTAGGGTTCAGGGTTCAGGGATTAGGGATTAGGGTTTAGGGTCTAGGGTTTTGGGTTTAGGGTTTTTAAGGTTTAGGGTTTAGGGATGATGATATGCGGGCCCTAAAAGGATCCTAGGTACTATTTTAGGGTCCCCTATTGTCACCAAGGTTCCAAGACCCTAATAACCCACAGCTCTGAACCGTGAAACCCTAAAAACACCCATAGCAGCCGTGAGAAGCCCAAGTTAGAAGGAGCCTGAATCCTAAACCCTAAACCCTAAACCCTAAACCCTAAACCCTAAACCCTACTAAAACCCCACGGCAACTTCAAAACGTACAGTTTTGAAGCCCCCCAAACCTTTTCTCCTCGAACATGGATCATACAGCCCCATAGAGCCGAGGTGGAAAGACGGTTTAGAGTTTAGGTTTAGGGTTTAGGGTTCTAAACCCTAAACCCTAAACCCTAAACCCTAAACCCTAAACCCTAAACCCTAAACCCTAGCAATTGCTCATTTCATGAGACAACACCTCCATAGAGCCGAGGTAGACAGACCCTTCCTCGTCATCGACATCCCGCGCTTCGCGGTGACCGGTCATATGCTCACGGGAAACTTCGCGTTTCTGGATCAGCTCCTGACCGCTTACAGCTGAAGGCAAAAAAAGATGTTGTGCGACCCTAAACCCTTCACCCTAGACCCGAAACCCGAAGCCTTAACCCTAGACCCTAAACCCTAAACCCTAGACCCTAAACCCTAGACCCTGAACCCTAAACCCTAAACCCCGAACCCTAAACCCTGAAGTTGAGGCTTTAGGGTTTTAAGGTCTGGGGTTCTGGGCTGAGGGTCTTTACACCCTGAGTCGAAGGTTGCAGGGTTTTGCTAGGGTTGATGATGTACGGACTGCATTACCATAAGGACCCTAAACTATGGGAAGTATGGTTAGAGTTTAGGGTTTAGGGTTTAGGATTTAGGGTTTAGGACCCGAAACTATGGGAAGTATGGTTAGGGTTTAGGGTTTAGGGTTTAGGGCATTACCTTGAGGACCCTCAACTATGGGAATTATGGTATATTTCCTATTACGGATAATGCAGGATTTATATCATCAAACGCAGGGTGTTGCAAGTTTAACGCAGGTGAACGCTGGAGTAAACAATGAGACTCGGGGGTTTGATCGATGAGGCTGTGATAGAGTGTTCCTAACCCTAAACCCTAAACCCTGGAGGTTTCGCAGGTGCAGCCACTGGTTTTGGGTCAGTGAGGTTTTGGGGTTACGCTTTTGTTGGCGTTTAGAGCTTGCAGCGGCTCCGATCCTACCTGGATGAAGAGTTCCTTTTCAGGGTTTAGGGTTTAGGGCTTAGGGCTTTGGGTTTAATAAGTTTAGGGTTTAGGGCTTATGAAGGCCTAAACCCTAAACCCTAAACCCTAAACCCTAAACCCTAAACCCTAAACCCTAAACCCTAAACCCTAAACCCGAATCCAAATCAATATTCCTCAAACGGAGAGTTATTAGCATGGCTTTCAGAAACCCTAAGCTGGTAACCGCAAACGCAGCAGCCCCAAGATCCCAAAGCAAAGCATACATTTCTTAGCGCCACAAGAAATACGCACACACACACACACACACTCGTATATATATATATATATATGTATATGTATAATATGTGTATATATATATACACTTGTATACATACATATGCATACATTTACACGCGCGTACACACACACACACAAGCCCCCATAAAACGCTAGAAGCAGACCTGGTCAAAATCTCTAACCCCTAAACCCTAAACCCTAAACCCTAAACCCTAAACCCTAAACACTAGCTCTGCAGGTGGACGGATAGCGAGGAAACGGAAGGTGCCGGCGGCTCAGAACTCTGGGCCTCAGGGCGAAGGCCAAAACTGCGGGTTTTGGGGTTTTGGGGGTTAGGGGATGGGTTTAGGGTTCCAGGGTTTTAGGGTTTTAGGGGTTTAGGGTTTAGGGATTTAGGGTTTAGGGTTTTAGGGTTTTAGGGTTTAGGGTTTAGGGGGTTTTCGAATCTAGACGACCCCGAATTCATCCACAATGTGAATCGGGTGGTGCGTGAAATGGGCCTTATGGGGAAAACGGTCGTGTACCGGCTAGTGCAAAAAGGGGCAGCGTGGAGAACAACGCGTCGTCGGGCTATCATTATCGAGGTTGTGGCCTAAACCCTAAACCCTAAACCCTAAACCCTAAATCCCGTGTGGCTGCATACCGGCTTGTAGTGCAATATGACCCAAAACGCATATCTTAATCATTCAGGCTTCTATTGAGCAGGGCACAGGCCCTGAATCGCTTTGGGGCCAAAATATCCCAAAAGAGGGTTTGAGCCCAAAAGCATGAGTCTTTAGAGCCTCCCTAAACCTTAAACTTTAACCTAAAAGCATTAGTCCTAGGAGCCTGAGAATAAGCATTCAAAATCCGTGCCTTGTCTTCTCATTCGCCTCTTGGGGGAAAGCTGTAAGGGCTTACTGACAGAAGAAGGATGATGGGTTGGTTCGGTTTAGGGTTTAGAGTTTAGGGTTTAGGGTTTAGTGGGGCAAGGGTTTACCGATCTTAGGGCAGTTGAAGTTGCTTTGAAAGGGTTTTCTAACGAAGAGTTTCAGGGGCTTCGGGGCTGTCTGAAGTTTAGGGCTTAGGGCTTAGATGGGTTCAGGGTTTAGGGTTTCGTCATTCCCACTTGCTACTTGGTTTTGCAGGGTCCGGCTTCAACGTCCTGATCTCAGGTTCCCTACACCCCATGCCCCAAACCCCGAAACAGTTTAAGATCGAAGGCCCTCATCGGAATTCTAAAGGACATGTCTTTTCGAAGTTGGGCCTGCAGGTGTAGACCCTAAACCCTATAAAACCTTCAGGGGAGTAACCTTTAAGGGGATTTTGCAGCGTAGGTCTAGAGATGTCGGGGTTCGAAGTCTAATTAGTCTGGCACGAACCCTAAACCCTAAACCCTAAACCCTAAACCCCAAAGCCCTAAATCCGAAAGGTCTAGGCGGGGTCGGTGGTTTAACTGGGAAGCCAGGGCTCAGGCGCTTCGCGCTTCTGGGCTTTGGGACAGCCGAAGTACTGTTGATGGACAAAATCCTGCATGACCCAAATATAGTATAGTACCATAAATCCCATAGTTTAGGTATATAGGGTCATGCAGGATTTTGTCCATTAATCGTAGGACAAGCGAAAGAGGGACGCCTGACTGGCAGCCACACTCTGGGTTTAGGATTCAGGGTTCCGAGTGGGTGTGTTTAGTTAACCAATTCACAACAATTGTTGCCATTAGTTTAGGTTTCCTAGACAACACAGCTCTCATTTCACATCCTGAACTTCACGGCCTAAAACTGCAGCCTCGAACAAGCAGAGCTACATATCAAGACCCTGAATCAGAAAGAGCAGCCGCCTAAGCCCCGAAGCACTTCCACCCCAGCCCCCCTAAACCCAAAACCCTAAACCCAAAACCCTAAACCCGAAGACTTTGAGTACTAAACTCCTAAACCCTAAACCGTAAGCCCTAGTCAGGCTCCAAAACTTTATTTCGAATATCTTATCGAAACCTTTATAGAGCCTTGAAGGAATCAGTTATATACACCGAAACCCTATTCTACTTGTTCCCCTCAACACCAAACCCTAAACCCTAAACCCGAAACCACCAGAAGCATAAACCTAGACTCGAAACTCTATTCTACTTGTTAAGGCTTCTTGATTAGAACGAGCCCGGGGAATCACCGAGGTCCTGAACTGTGAGCCTTGCCCTCGCGGGAGGTGAACACCACCTCAGGGCTTGGGCTTCATGGGTTTTAGAGCGTTGGGGGTTTGGGGTTGAGGGGTTTAGGGGTTTAAGGGGCTTAGAGGTTTAAGGTTTTGTTTTGGGGTTGGGGGGGGGGTAGAGGTTTTAGGGGGATGAGGGGTTTTAGGGTTTGGGTTTAGGCGGTTTAGGGTTCAGGTGTTGGCTTTGTTTTGGGTTTTCAGCGTTTCGAGAGCATCTTTGCCCACAACCCTAAAAACCCTAAACCCCTTAAGCCCTAAACCCTAAGCCCAGGGTTCACGTTCTTTTCCCAAGAACCCTCAGCCCTGGAACTTAATCCCGAAGCTCGAGGCCCTCAGCACGGTTCATCTGCGTTACCCGACCTTCCCTAAACCCAAAACCCTAAACCCCCAAGCCCAAAACCCTAAACCCCGAAACGCTAACCCTAAACCCAAATGCCTCAACCCTAAACCCGAAACCCAAAACCTCAAACCAAAAAGCCTCAACCCTACACCCGAAACCCAAAACCTCAAACCCCGGAAAAAAGGTGGACCAATGAGGAGGGCACCGCAGCTGCCGACCTCTGCTTCAACTGCAGTGCCGGGAGGCCGCCCTCAAGATATTTTGGGGAAAAAATATAAATAAATAAATAAATAAATAAATAGATAAATAAATAAATATAAATATAAATATAAATATAAATATAAATATATATATATATATATATTTATGTACGTACATATATATATATATGCACATGTATGTATGCTTGTATATATACATACACATATTTACATATATATATATATATGTATGTATGTAGATGTGTGTATATATATATGCACGTACATGTATATATATATATATGTTGTATATACAGAGGGAGATATCTTCAGCATCAAAACCCTGTCTTGCAAACTCCAGAGTCAGAAGCATTGAAGATTGAGCCCTAAATCCCAAATCCTAGACTTTGACTGAACCCTATACCGATCTAAACCCAAAGCCCTAAAACCCTAAACCCTATAGACTCTCAAAGCCCTACCGAAGGAACCATTGAGGTGGCGGAAATACAGTTGCAAAGCCCAAAACCCGTAAGCCCTAAACTCTTAAACTCTAAACCTTACACCCTAAACCCTAAGCCCATCGATAACCAAAAACCAAAGCCCTCAATGGGGTTCAAGACAAAGAAGCGCAACCCGAGGTGGTCCTCCGGCGAGGGCGCTGCCTCGCAGGACTGTCGTCCAGAGATTGCAAAACGCCTTACACCCTAAAGACTAAACCATAAACCCTAGAAAGGATCCTTTGCAAAACCCCTTACATCCTAAAAACTAAACCATAGACCGTAAAATGGATCAACCCCTTGCAGCCTGAAGACATAAACCCTCAAATGGATCCTAAACCCCACGCCCTAAAACGAACGCTAAACCCGGTGGTGGTATTACTGCGTGTTTTTTTTTTTTATCGGGGCGGCTTTGCGTTTTTATCCGTTTCGGGATTTGCCTAAGTCGCAACCTGAGCAAGCAAGCTGAGCAAGCTAAGCCAGCTAAGCATGAGAAACAAACAAAAAGCAACCCTAAACCCTAAGCAAGCAAAGTATAGGGTTTAGGTTTAGGGTTTAGGTTTAGGGTTTAGGGTTTAGGGTTTAGGGTTTAGGGTTTAGGGCAAGCAGGCAGGCAGGCAGGCAGGCAGGCAGGCAGGCAGGCACACGAGGTTTCCTCCATGTACAGGCCACTCTGCAAGAATGTCATAGTTGTAATAGGGAAAGGAGCATACACAAGGAAAGCTGACAAAGAATACAAAACCGCCCCGACAAAAAGTGCGGAATGAATCTGGCGGCTGCTAAAGCCCTAAGCCCTTTACCTTGAAGCAAAAAAAGATCCTTAACATATAAGTTCCCTAAACCCTAAACCCTAAACCCTAAACCCTAAACCCTAAACCCTAAATATAAGTTCCTTAGACAAGGGGTTTTCCTGTCTGTGGGGTGAAAGCTTCTGTTGCGTAGCAAGAGAGGCCTTCGGGTTACAGGGGTTGGCGATGTAGGGGTGTAAGGATTTTAGGGCTGTCGACTGTGATGTTTAGGGTTTAGGGTTTAGGGTTTAGGGTTTAGGGTTTAGGGTTTAGGGTTGTTTAGGTGTTGGACCAGTGTGACCATGACGGCAAGAAGGCGAGCAGAACAACCACAAACAACCCAGAGATCCACATCCGCAAGACATTCGACAGATGAGCGAGTACCATAGTAGGACCGTGACCTCAGGCTCAAGTGGCAGGAGCTTCGAGAAAAGTGTTCCGCCCCAGGCCAGTTTCGAGCCTCTCCATCTTCATCACAGGCCTGCCAAAAGATGGCTACAAACGTGACTTGATCACGCGGCTCGTCCGGGCCACAGTCCGCGACTTGCGCCCAGCGCCCGCGGACGTGCTTGGCTCAACATGCGCTCCGCATGCCCTTACCAACTGCCAAGATGATGATGTCCAGATCTGCTCCTGGGAGAACAAATGCCCAGAATCCGCGGAGGACAAAGGGGAGGAGAAGACAGAGGGGGCCTCGAGGCGGGTTCCATATACGCGTCTTTACAGAGTGAGTCCTGCTGCCAAGACAAAACATCGTGCAGTGAGGGGCTGCTGGGACGAGACGCGTCCGGAGACGGCGCAGGAGGAGGAAGACTACCCTGATTCAGTTCATTTTGACGGAGGAACAAAGGCAACTCGAGCGAATGTGTTGCCTGCAGGAGCAACCGCTTCAGAAAGCCGTCGCGGCCTCGCTAGAGGGCGGCACTAAATGCCTTCATCTACGCATCCACCCTGCGGAGATCTCCGCGTGGGGTACAATCCTAGATCCCAAACCCTAACCTTAACCCCTTAACTTCAAACTTTTGTTGTGACTCCTGATGATTGTGGTCTGTGTTGGCATCACTGCTTGAACTTAAAGCCCACACCCAAATCCAAAGCCCTAAGCCCTAAATCCTACCAAACCCTGAAGAAACGACCGGAAAAGGACGCCTGCATCGACTGCTTGGCTGGCAGAGCCTCGGAAAGGTCCTCGCCCAAGCGTAGTGGGTTTAGGGTTTAGGGTTTAGGGGTTTAGGGTTTAGGGTTTAGGGTTTAGGTTCACTGCCTCTAGGACTCTAGGACGCGAGGCGCAAAAAACTTGACAGATTCGGCAACCCTTTGAGAGCAAGGCGGTGTTATATGGGTTGTTGTAAAAATTAGGGTCCCTTTTTGGG